CTCCGCCCTATTCCTATACAACTCCCATGACCTCTGCCAGCCCTCCCAACCTCTCTCTGCTGCCTCTGGTCAATGCCAATGGCCCTAGGACTACCTCCTCCTTTGACTCTCTCCCGCTCTGCCTCCCATCTACATCCACATTACTTCCGGACCTCCACTACCACACCTCCACCTCCTCAGACCCCTCATTCCAAGGAGATGGACCTGCTCGTTGTTGATAAACCTCAACTTGCCTATCCACTCTCCTTCTTACTTCCGGTCTCTGCACCTCCGGTACCTCCAGTACCTCCGGTACCTCCTTACCTCCTTACCTCTGATACCTCCCCATTCCTGCCATACCTCCGGTCTTGATAATCTTTATTGTTTTATCATTTTATATTTCCTACAACCCCAATCTTCCAGACTACAACTTCCGGGCTCCAGACCTTTCTGGATGTCTTCCTCTGTAGTCCCTTGCTCATTCTTAGACAGTTCCAGGCCTTTCCATTCAGTTGGCTTTTATTCTCCCACTCCACAAACCTCAGACGTAATTCAGGCTTTTCACCTATTCCTTATTTGTCATGTGGATTCTTTCTATTTACTTCCCCTTCCCCTTGGTAACCTTTGTTTACCTTCGGATCCAAACTGTTCTGATATATGTATGCGTGTACCCCTCCAAGTAAATAGTTCCCCCAGTTATGATATAGAAGTCTTAAGCCCCTCGAAAAACCTCCTCTAGGACATCTATCACATCCCACTCATCTGCTACTCTACCCAGAACTAAGAACTGAGTAACAGGTGCATCTAAGGTGCCTTGGTATAAAACCCAAATGGATTGCATGATGAACGATTGACCCTTGCTAATGCCTCCATCATTAAGTAGTGAGGGGGGGCCTCCAGCCCCCTTCTGCTGGGGGCCTCGGTTCCTCCATCACCAGCTCCCCTGGAAAATTGGGGACAATGAGAACGTAATGGGTGCAGTGCTCCATTCCAAGTCACTGAAGCCAAGTCCCTTCAACACCCTGTCACCCTCGGAGCTCCGCTCCACCTCCAGTCTGTCTCTGACCCACCATCGGACAACCTGGAGTACCGAGCTCCACCAGACAGCATCGCCTGGATAGCGATCGGACCTATCCAAGGAACCCTCTTCTGACATCGACCCCAGACACGTCCCTGACAAGTTGATGAAATGTAACACACTGGAGAATGGATAAAGCCTCTGAGATAAGTATGTCCCTTCACCCCATGCTCCACAAGCCATCTGCCCTAAACACAATGTCTTCATGCTGTTTAATTTGTTGACTGAAACAAAAGGTGAGTTTATCAGGATTCTAGTGAACACTTCACCATGTCAGGGGACGATCCCTGGGTCCCCATGACCCCTCTCTATGGCCCACAGCCTAGCCTGTAACACAGCCCATCTCAGGGCATAACACTACTGTGGGTAAGAAAGTGAGAAGAAGGTTAACTTCTCACTTTCCCACAGTGGCCCCAATATGGCAAAAACTTCCAGGGATACCCGGAAGTCACATGAGGAATGGGAACTGGGCCCGGAGCATGTGGCATGCAGAGCATGCAGGGCGGAGCACACATGCGGGTCCAGGTCCGGGCTAGTCAGGGTGTGTGCCCTGACACACCACAACCACAAAACTCCCTTCCCTGTGTCACTTCACTCCTCTGACTGGGGGAAAATGCAGTATGGCAGTACTACAGCACTTTCCAGCCCCTGTCTTCCCATGGGAAACAAGGCTCTAATCCCCCAACCCAACACAGGAAAAATCCAAAACAAATGTCGTAGTTAACCCCACCCAAAATTAACCCAGCCCAACCCAATCCAGCCTGATTCATGGGCTTCTTGTCCTTATGTGCTAAAATTATGTTGGAATTTTGTATCGCACACTCAAAATAATATTCTTCTATATATCTTTTGGAATGAACCTCCCAAAAATCATTATGTATTGCCCCACATATTTGGGATTTGTGTACCACTTCAAGTCCATTTTTGCAGAAACAAGGTTGGGCTATGATTAGGTAAGTCTACCATGTTTTTCCCTTGACTGGGCTCAATAATGACAAAGTGCTGAGCACGTGATACAAAATTCCAACATAATTCATAAATCGGGCTGGGCTGGGTTAATTTTGGGTGGGGTTAACTACTACATTTGTTTTGGATTTATTTACATTGCATAGAGAATGATTAGTCCTCTGACTGGGTATGTTTTTTCCATTGATTCCTCTAAGTGCATAAATATGCCAGTGCATGTTGCATTTGTTGAACAAGTAGTTTCTCCTTATTTAGGAACTCTATCCACTACATTCAGGGACTATGTAACAAATAAAACTGCCTAGCTTCGGCCTAGTCAAGGATCTGACTCGGTCTAAGGCTGAATAGAGGTCAACTTTCTCCCACACTCTCAGGGACAGGATGTATTCAAAAGGCCAAAAACAGACTGTCACATGACATTATTGGGTAATATGTCTTTGTCAATCAATAGATTCTCAACATTACAGTAATATGTTCTTGTCATTCAATACAATTGTCATTTGATGACCAAACAGTACAGCATCATGGAGTGAGGTTGGGTAATAAGTACTTGTCATCTAATAGATTGCCATTTTAAGAATGAAAATCTCCCACCTCCAGCAACGCAATCAGGATATTACTCTGATCTCCTTCAATGCAGGTCATTGGGACCTTGAGGCTTTCCGATGTTGAGAAGATAACAAGATTACGCATGATACTATCTAATATACAAGTGGGATCAAGCTGCTGGATGGCAGAAATCATACAGAGCTGGTTTGGGTTTGAAGTGCCCCGTGAATGGCAGGTCACAAACTCACTTAGGTTATATGGGGGAACAGACCAGACTCCTTCCCAGTCACTCACATGATTTCTCCGAGGTTTAGCCGCAACTTATGTTGCCTCCAAAATCTGTTGAGCGACTGGTAAGACTGGTGACATGCACAAGTAATTACTTTCCCAGGAATAGCCGAATGTGGCTGTACGTGTCACGTGCTGCCAAAGTTAATGGAGTTCATAATATTGAAGTGGTGGCATCGCATTTGTGATTCTACTTTGATTTCATATGTTCCTGAATTATCTCCCGTGTCGCTTCTGGTGGTATCTGGCAGTGGCTATGGTATTTTCGGACTGCCCAAGATGCCTCACAACCATTTAACCCACACCAGTATCCATCCATGTATCTTAGTGATCGGTTTGCGAACCTGAAAGAAAAAAATGGAAAAGATGGGAACTGTGAGGAAATCCATAATGAGAAAACTCACCTTCTCATTGACTGGATGGTCACAGAGGCCAGTGAGCTTATCGCATTTGCCTCAACATCCTCAATCTTTGAAGAGGGTGGATATTCTTGGTAGACCTGCTTTGAGAGTCCCCAGACCTGTTCAATGAAATTTAACTCACAGTGAAATCTTGGGAGGAAGAGAACTCAATGGCGTTAGCCCTGCAATGAGATGCAAGAAGACAATCTACGTTGATGAAATCGGGCTGGTAAAATAGAATGTTCCGGCAGCAACACTGTGCATCATTCCCTCGGCACTTGAACCCTTTGCACACTGCCGGAAGAGAGGATGCATTATGATAACCACGTTCCTCCAAGAGTTTTGCCATCCCCTTGAACAGTCCTGGGTGAGTTGGGTGGTTGTCAGGATAGTAGAGATGTTAGGGTTGGCCATTAAATATGGTATCGGCCATGCGCTTCTTGATCATGTGTGGTTTTCCATCTGCCTGATAGATAATCCGCCCATTCTATGTGCAACAACAGCAACACCCCAATCCTTTGGAAATTTCGGCATTTTAACAGCTGATAGAGAATCCTCTGCACGTTTTGCATGTGTTCGGGCATTGTCAAAGACAAGGACATGCTTGTCATTTGGATATTTCTGTTGCAGGATTTCCATTGCACATGAAGCTTGTTCAAGAATATCCTCATTTGTAAAGTAACCATCTCGGTTCTTTCCTGGCTTGAGAATCACACGCGCATCACAGCCATCCCCCTTCAGCCAACCATAGTCAGCTGAAACAAAATCGGAAACCATCAGAGAAGCCCCTTCACCCTTTGGATAAGGTTTAGGGGTCTCCAAGTTGTGTACCCAGTGAACCCTGCAGTGATCGTGTGCATAAAAGATTGATTCGTCATGAAACCAAAGAACAGTGTGTTGTTCTGGTGGTGATTCAGGTAGTTCCTCTTCCCCATTCATGTCCCACTTCCTTGTTGACTTCGCATATTCAGCCATTGCAGGCAGAAACACTGTCTGCCAATAGTTGACAACATCTTCACACTCGTGGCCATCAGAATACTGGCCCTTCTTCTCCTTGCGCCACCGGTATCCCATTATGTGTAGCCACCTCTGTGCAGTGCGTAGAGAGATAGGTTTTTCACATTCCATGCATTCTTTCATCTCCGGAGTGTTGAGGAACTCCACAATGTCTGATGCAGAGATATATGGGCCAAGCCCACAAAGGTGAGTTTCCAGTTCTGCTTTCAAATCCTCATCTGTCACCAGAACTGATGATCCCCAGTGGCCATATGGGTTCTCTGGTAATGATTTATCAAGGAGAAAAGTCCGGCACCAGCTCCGTAGATGCACAGCATAAGAATTCCCACGATTCCACACCTTCGCAACCATCAGTGATGCCCCAATCCAGCCAGCATCTCCATTATTGACTGAAGAACTGTCCAGATGAAGGAGCTGAGCCATCTGCTGGACTCACACTTGCACCATGAGGTTGATATCAACATTCTTGTAACCCCTTCCTGTTTTCCGGGGCAGCTTCAGGATTTCATCAAGCGCACGCACAGCCTCAGCAGCATCTTTCTTCTTGGGTGGGGGAACATAGGGCTGTGAATGAAAATGGGCCTTTGAGGGTTCTTCCTCTGTTCCAAGAGGCCTTCCCTGGGCTATGACTGGAGATACTGGTGGAATATGTGGCTCTGGCAGCGCGTCATCAATTTTTTCCGGGGTATTGTTGTGGGTCACTGAAAACTGGTTTAGGAAACTCAAGGAGTGTCTGCTGGGCTGTGGGTGGGGCTCCAGGTGGACTCTGACTGTTGGTCATCAGGGGAGATATCGTGCATCTCCATCTCGGCAACAAACACATTGCTCTCAGCAGCCTCAGAGCTGCAGGTCTCTTTTTCCTCCTCTCCTTGGGTGAGATCTATCTGTGTTATAGCACTGTTCCTCCCACTAGAGTTTGTGCTCAAGTTGTTCAGGAGGGCTGAGAGAACGGCCTGCCCAGATTCCTTGCTGGAAGTTGGAGGAGGGTTGAAAAAATCAAGGATTGTGCATTTCTTCCTGTCAATCCTTGTCCTTTTTCGCATCTCCTGGATCCTCCCACTAATAGTCCTCTTGATTGCTGCATCGCGGTACCAGCTGCGCTCCAAGCGTACACCGTTTATGGTGGTCCCAGCATATGTGACTTTGTTGCCCGGGATTTTTCCCCGGATATTGGCTAACTGAGCAAGCTGTCCCTCAGTATCGTGTAGGCACTGGGAAAATGCATTCTTTGAGGATATTGCTGGGTTGATTGTTTCATCAAGGTCTGTGTCGCTGTCCACATCACTGTTTGCACCATCATATGAGTTGGAATTGACATTAGCATCAGGCCAATCCGGAAGTACATCGTCCCCAACAGTCTGTGTGTGCTCTAGGGGGATTGTGTGGATTGACTCTGTAGTCGGAGATGGGTCTACATGTAATTTCTGGTAAAGAAACAAAAGTAATGAATCATGACCCAATAACAATATATGGTGAACCTTACCTTCTGAGAGTACTTTCCAAGGTTATTTGCTCGCTTACACTTTTTCCCTAGAGGCATAATGTGCAATGTTGGAGGGGAAAGGGTGCGGGTGCTTACATGCTTTCCCACTTCAGCCTTGGCAAATTCTGAATGAATTGATTTCGCCATTCCATGCACGCCAAAATTTCACTACTGAATTTTCAGTCATGGTTCCCAAGTGACAAGCATTGAAAGAAGAACCACTTCCGGGCACAAAACAAAAAAGCCCCTCTCACTTCTCACTGAGTACAAATATCAAATTTTAGAAACTGGGAATGTCTTCTTTACTGCATACTCTACATAGTTCAGGCTGTAGCATTTGCTAGATCAAGTTGTGTCCAAAGTGAGAGGGTTAGTTCATTCTGGAATAGTTTGCATCCATAAAGTGATGACTTGTGCACGTCACCAGTCTTACAACTTGCAACATGTGATGTTCCCACACTAAGTTGTAATGAGTTGTACATAGGTTATGAATTTTTAGTATTTACACATGCAGTCATTGCACCCAACCCAACCTGTGGAGACTAAGGGAGCACATCCAAGGTTGTGAAGTCAATATCCAGGTGTGTGCAAAGTTTAACAGTTTATATATTACTTAGTTACCAGTCACTTGTTTGTGTCCGGTGGCATAAGTGGTACAGCGTTAGCTGAGGCTATGCAGTTTTTTTAAGTGGCACATGTTCGATTCTCACTTAGGGAAACTTTTTTGGGGCCCTCCCATGGAATAATTGTGTGAAATGGTTGTTTTCTGTACACTAAGGAGTGGAGGGTATGAAAAAAAAGTTTCCTAAGTGAGAACATGTGCCACTTAAAAAAACTGCATAGCCTCAGCTAACGCTGTACCACTTATGCCACCGGACACAAACAAGTGACTGGTAACTAAGTAATATATAAACTGTTAAACTTTGCACACACCCAGATATTGACTTCACAACCTTGGATGTGCTCCCTTAGTCTCCACAGGTTGGGTTGGGTGCAATGACCACATGTGTAAATACTAAAAATTATATTCCGTAACCTATGTACAACTCATTACAACTTAGCATGGGAACATCACATGTTGCAAGTTGTACCAGTTGCTCGACAGATTTCGGAGGCAACGTAAGTTGCGGCTAAACCTCGGAGAAATCATGTGAGCGACTGGGAAGGAGTCTGGGAACAGATGTATTTTTGACATCAAGAACTGGAAGTGGAAGACAATGCTAATGTTTGCTTCTGTGCTTGCACACAAAGTTATGAATGGTCGCCACATGGCAATCGTAATTTATCCTACTTGTTCACTGATGGATGACCAAGTATGTAAGCTAGATATACTTGTCCCTGAGCAGAGGCACTCACTTTGCTGTTGTGTGATTAGGAAGTCAAAGCGCAATCTAAAGGGATACAGTTTATCGTGATACATCAGGAATCAATTGCTGCTGCTCTACATGAGGACCCACCCAGAAACCTCTGGGCCGAAGTTCTATCTGGCCGGTTTGACATTGTTGCCTGTGCACCAGAAAGGATTGGCACTGCGGATTTTAAATGGATGGTTAACTCACATCTGTTCACAGAGAAATTAGGGTTTTGTGTTATTGATGAGGTGCATCTTGTCATACCTTGGTCACAGTCCTTCCAAGAGTCATACAGCACTGTTGTCACTCTCCGATCCCTTGTTCCATCCTATGTTGTAGGCGGGATAATCGCCCACACACAGACTCGGCTCAGATACCCATTTTCACGACTATAAAACCACTTCCATCCATGCGACGACTCAGTACGGATTTGACATCTAAAAATAGTGCTAATTCGTGCGATCCCATCGATACCAAGAACGTCCTAATCGGTGGAGATTTGACAGAGTTCTGTGTTGGAGAAGTTAGGCACAGCAGGTCACGAGTATGTGCGGGCGTGGGAATCTCAAGCGGCAACCCAGAATTCCAGCCTCACTCGTTCCCACGGCGTCTAATAAATTGGTAAAAATGCTTATCGGCTGCGTGAGAGTTATCTCCAGCTACATTTCCAATTTAGGCTCTTAATTCCGTAAATCTGTTGAGATATCGCTTATTTTCTTATATTTTCATATTTTTGCATCATTTCAGTTATTGATCAATATTCTTTTATTGACACTGTTACCCTTTTTTATTACTTCACCTAATAAGGTATGCAGGTGCCATATGGTACCAATATTTCCCATCAATTATTCTAAAAATAATTGTTCCTCATATCCTGTACATATCGGATTCTGGAATAGAAGTTCTCCCCTCCCCCAAATTTTCTCTAAGGTGCTAGGACACGCTAGAGTGGGTGTGAGTGAGTGGAATTCCAACAGTAGGAATAAGGGCAACAATCTAGCCTGCAACGAGTGGGTAGTGGATTTGTTGAGCCCGGACCTTGCAGAAATCCCAGAGAACTCACCACGGAGTTAAGGATCGAGAGCATAGCGAGTCTAGAGAGAAAGTAGGAGTTTTGGAGAGTTTGGCCCCACGAGCTTAGTCAGCATAGAGAGCCACTAGCCCTCTTGCAACGTAACATTCCTTGCAATGTCAGGCTCCATGAACCCACAAACCACATGCAGGGCTACACAGAGCTGTTTAGGCTTCCAACCCGACCTTTTCTGGGATGTGTCACTTCTGGTTGATCGTAAGGACCTAGTCTATAGCACTCATACCTTGAAGTATTTGATTACAGGCAGCGACTTCCCAGATCTGGCATGGCTCATCCCAGATAACCTCACAACTGCACAATCCATCACACCTACACTAATAGTGGTGGCAACGGTGGCTATTGCAAATGCATTAGTCAAGTGGCTACGAAAGAAACTCAAGGAAGTACTTACAAATGGAGAGGATTTAGTTTTTCCATTCCATTCAATTATACCCCAAGAGGATCGTCTGACAACACTCCAGGAGCTCGAGGCTGGGACAGTGCGAATAGTGGTGGCAATGACAGCAGCCCAAGTTGGATTAGACATGGCAATATGGAATGTCGTGATCTTGGATCTTCTCCAGACTTCAAGGCCATGACTCAATGGAATGGTCGTGCAGGTCAGGATGGACAGGGTGGCCATGCAATCATATATGCACCAGATGCAATCCGAATCAAAAATGTTTTTGACCTTGATGGTGACTCTGCAGGGTGTTAGAGACCGGAGCAAGATGAAGGAGTTGTCTCCGTGGCGGAGGGCTTCAGCCTCAGCGACTCAGGCCAGGAGCGCTGTAGGCGGGCACAGCCGGTACCACGCAAACAAGCCGATTATCGTGATTCTACCACCCACGTCAAGCACCCCACTCCCGAAACACATCTACCACTGTTCCAGATACCCCTTCCACGTTTCCCATATTTTTTCCGATTTTTTCAAGCCATTCCTGACCACGGACAACCATCAGTTTCCAAATTGGGCAACTGTCACCCGCATATTCCACCGCTTCCTCTGTATCTCCATCAATTCTCCACCGATCCGGACGAATTTGGTATCGTTGGAAAGCCCTTGTCAACGCGAGTCGAACAATGTTACGAGTGACGTATTTGGTTCAGCGGTTGAGGCGATCGCCATGGTTCTTTATTTCCTTAACAACATCAATATTTCTTTGATATTGCTTTTTTTCTTATTTGTTCCTTGTGGATCTGTTGCCGTCCTAAACCCGTCGGATCATTCGGATTTCCACGCGTATTTCTTTCATATTTATAGTTACCCTCTTTCCTGTATTTACAAAAAGGACTCCCCAACAGAGAGAGGTGTTCCCCAACAAGAACATGAAGTTCTAGCAGACGTTACCAGCGCCCAGAGCGGCGAATACGAAGCCAAAGAGGCTCAAGACATCGTGCAGGGACAGAGTTCCCATCAGTTTGATTTCTAGTGAGATTTACGAGATTTATCATTTTTATCACATCGCACCCGGACCATTTCTCCTCCCCCCTTCCTCTTCATCCGAACCTCCCCTGAGCACTCCCAACTCTGTGGCCCCCTCTCTTTCTCGTTAGGGTGGTAGATCCCTTGCCCCCTTACAGCGCTGTGCCAAGTTACATGTTGCAAGCAGGAATCTGCTACACTCTCCAGGAAATGGAAGGTAGCACTCCAACTCACTCCCCAAAGGCTAGGGAAGAAAGAGAAAGGGGGCTGAAAGGGGTGTTGCGGTTAGAACAGGTCTGTATATCAACGGAGGGAGGGGGGGAGGGGATTTTGGGAATAATATAACTCTGGTAACTCCTGTTTACTTCTTTCCATGGTGGATAAAGGTCACAATAGGCCTTTACCAATTTTGTGGCCGCTCACAGCACTCAAGTACACAGACTTCAAAAGTAGCAGGAGGGGGGGGAAATCTCTAGTCCGTTTCAATTGCTATGTACATATACCCATTCAGCAAACATACAATCTGTGAAAAGAGTCCGAAATATATGGGTTTGGCTGAGCTAAGCCTCCACCAATCAACGGCAGTAAGGTTCGGGTGCCATTGGCTTAGAATAAAATTCCAAACAACAATGAAAATTGAAAAGAAAAACACAAACTTCCTCATACCACTCCGAACACTGCGTCAAACCTCCGTCCCTTTTTCCCACTCGACTCTCCTCATCCATAGCTTTCTAACGATACCGATTTTGTGAAATTTAGTGGGGATTTGACTGAGAATGGGGATTCTCAGAAACGGAATATATATCTTGATTATCTGTGCACAGGGAAACTTGGGCCAAATAATATGCCATAATTCCAAGACTCCTCCAATGTCTTCTTTAGCATTTGTATCATTTAACTGGCCCATATTCTTCTGGAATTTCACTGAGACTAGCTCGCACGTGAGCATCTACATAGTCCATATTGTCCCGTGACTCCCGTCATGCCTGATAATCAGAATATCTCCACAACCACTGAACCGATTAGGGTGAAATTCAACGCTGGGTATTTGGGCATTTTTCTCGATTTAATGACCCCAAGATCGTCCTCTTCCGTCAGCTTTTGACCTTGTTCTCATGGTTGCGGTCAAGTGCATGGACTTTGTTCATGAGGACATCTCAGGTTGAATTTCTCCACCAAATCTCAACCGATTCCTTCGCGGAAAGGCTCTTTCGGTTCGTACGAAAACCCTCTTTCTTCTTTCTTATTACTCCCCTCTATCATTCTTTCATTTCCCTAATAATGTACAAGGGTGGGAGCCCAATTTTGATGTATTTGCTGCATAAGGTTCCATGAATTTGAGCACACCCATTATGCACTCCTACAACGTCCGTGCCCTAATTTACTTACTGGCAACGAGAACTAAAAGGGGGATCAACTCTAGTTGATTTTATCACTGGGGTGTAACCTATCTACAAGTTATGTATATATAGTTACAGCAAGGGCAGGCCCGTGAATAGCGGGACCGAGCAGAGCGGAACTAACAGGGATAGATGTTAGCCGACTGAATATTACCAACGAGTTGGGTTGTGGGTTTAGCGGAATGACCCACAAGTGGAAAGGAGGGATAGGCCCAAAGGAAGACTTGCAGGGCAAGCAAGTGAATTGCCCAGCAGAGGTGGGAATGCGCTAGCAGATGTTGGAGCTGTCTGGAGAGCTTCGGGGCTCCGTACTTAGGGAGGCATAGGTAATATATTGAATTGGAGAGGTGGTGACCATCGGGGGGGTCGGAGGTGATTGTGGAAACCAGAGGCTCCGAGGTTAGTGGTGGAGGAGCGGAGGTGGTCGAGGGTGATGGCCGTGGATGGATATGACACAGGGGGACGAAAGAAGATCACAAATAGAGCTTTAAAACTCCGAAGTGATTTTCGAGACAGTTGCCCACCTGGTTTTGTTGACTACTTCAACACTCCCTGCCTTTGCAAAGTCATATGCGAATACTATGGGGAGCCATATGAGAAACCCAAACTGTGTTGTGAAGGACCAGGATATTATCCCAGTCCAAACATGGAACCCTTACAAGCGGCAGAGTGATATGTTGAAAATCTAGTGCACACCCAACAGTTGAATCCAGCCCATCTTCCACAGGACAAGGGGAACTTACCGAAGTATAATGCTGCGATGTTACAAGTTGGGATTGAGAGCCCTCGAGTCTGGTGAGAGAAGATATGGATGGAGAGGGGAAGGGTTGGGGGCCTTACCAATTTGGATGCACCCTCATCGATCGTCTTGAACCATTCAATCGAGCTCCTTGCAGCTGCAATGCATCAGGGATATTCTGAAGAATGGATGAAGGCTTTAGCAGAGTCATGGGGGAGTCACAATGGACTTAGCGTTAGGGAACAGGAGCTATTGGTTGAGGTGATTAGGCAGTGTAATGGAGGTTGGGTGCAGGAATCCTGGAGTTTGGGAGGCAAGAGGAAAGGTAACGGAATAACCGCTTGCTCTAATGCTAAAGCTCAGTCTCAAGCTAATGTGTGAGAACTATAATATTACCTAATGCTAAAGCTATAAGGTAATATACAATGAGTTACAATGTATAAGAAATCAGAGTAAAAGAATATTGTAACTAACCTCAGTCTCACGCTAATGCACGAGAACTGAGGGAAAAAAGGAAACTAATCCAAATGAATGAATATAGTTTGTGGACTTCACGGATAAGTCCGAAGTGACCAAAATAAGTAAGAAGAAAAGGTGTTGTGACCAAGTAGTCACGCTACCGCGGGAATGTGGCTGTCTGGGCAAGTTCCTCGCTCGGGTGTGGGAATGTGGCTGTACGAAAACTCGTCCGGCCTCCCATAGCACACGGTTCCTCCAACAAAAGGAAGAGCCACAAAGACAACAGCAGCACAGAGGCCGGACGATGACGACCTGGGAGGTGAGAATGAGGTCACCTCAGCATCAATACTTGGGCCGACACAGGGTGAAGGCAAACGGAAGGTAGTACTTACGAAGAAAGCAGCCAATGTGAATGATGATAACTAGCCAATGAATGATCATTGATGGCATCACCATTTTGCTTTTCTTGGCAAGACCTCCACCATTCTCTAGCCAAGAAAGCAGAGCAAGAGAAGCGTCCTTCTCTTCAGCTGCTGTTATTTCATTAGACTTAAACTAGCATGGTGTCGATGGTCAATGTGAGGTCACAATGTTCATATCACCAAACACTGACCTTGCGCTTAGCTCCCCACTGAGTTGGTTCGCCCTCAAGTTTCTTGTCAAACCTTTGGGAATGTCAGGAATACATCATGGATTCACCTGAGAATGCACAAGTCCACTTACTTCCCCATACTCACTGTACTCTTCTTAGCATGGATGAGTGTTTTCTCAATCTGCATCTTTCGTTGTGCTCGCTCCACCCTAGCAATGTTTGCCAGGTGTTGTTGTTCATTCTTTTGGACACATCTGGGGACTGTTTGGTGGGAAGGGAGAAAAGAGACTCAAATACAGCCTGAGCTCCTTCACATGCAAGTTCACTGAGATATGCCTCATGATCAGCACTACAACCACCATAAGCTGAATCCCATGCAGTTTAATAAAATTTGCGATACACGCACTGGTATGCTTCGGCATCCACTGGATTGGGATCAGTTGCAGACAGCAGACCGGGATCCACCTGAACAGATGATTCTTTCTCCAACTCCACCCTAACAGAACCAATGAGATAACAACTATGACCCACACACTATCGAATGGTCTGAAATTAACAGTATATTGCAAGTGTTAGATGATGATGAATGAACTTACTATGTAAACATCGACAGCCCTTACAGTGTATTGCGAGTGTGAGATGATGATCAATGAACCTGTGACACCAGAAGTCTCGTAAAAGAAGAGTGTGCAAGAACCATCACAATGACTTAAGTAAACAAGTGTCAGGGGACGACTCCCGGGTCCCCATGACCCTCCCCTATGGTCCACAGTCTGTGGTGTAACCAGCCCTGTCCAGGGCACAACTCTACTGTGGGTAAGGAGATGAATAGATAAACAGTAGGTAAGGTACACTTGCCTACTGTGGGTAAGGAGATGAGAAGGAAGCTAACTTCTCATCTTCCCACAGTGGCCACCATATCAGGAAAACTTCCGGGGATACCCGGAAGTCACATGAAGGCAGGGTCCGGGGCCGGACCATGCAGCGCACGGAGCATGCGGCGCGGGAATGCACACAGGAAGCGTAGCGGGTCCGGACGCGGGTCCGGGTCCGGGCTAGTCAGGGTGTGTGCCCTGACAACAAGAGTGTGTGAGAATCATCAACGACCTTAACAGCATATCACATGTGAGCCTTCGACAGAAACAAGAGCGATTGTTGATGGCCTATCTTTGGGAGAGCCTCTTAGACCCCAGCCAGCTAACCACATCAGGCGCTGGGGCAGCCTATGGACCATGGAAAGGTGGGCTCTCATCCCAGAGGAAATACTGGTCCATAGACCAGTAATGCGAAAGTGGTTAGTAATAAGCCCAAATGAATAACAAGTACAAGTACTTTACTGTTGTGAGTAATCAATATTTGATGTCAAGAGCAATGATCCATACACTGAAAAGATGCAGTCAGTACTTACCATCGCGAGTAATAAATCCTTGACATCAGGAGCAATGATCCATAAACTGAAAAGATGCGATTAGTATGTGCAAGCAAGGGGTTTAGCAGGCCTATAGAACCAACAGTGGTACCATCTTAGAGTTTTTGATTGAAATTTGAGATGACTTTGGTCCGAAGTTTCTCTTCTCCGCATTCAAAGGCCATCTAGTGAGAATAGGTGTTGAGAGTACTGCGGGTAACTTATCCCAAGGTGATTGATATCAGCCTCGATGTCAGCCTGCGTGCAGCCTGGATTGACTTGGGCAATCCCAAGCATACCCATGAAACTCTGCAAAAGATCCTTCATATCGACAATGTTCAGTGATACAGCCTCACGAAGGGATGTAGAATCAAAAGCGTTCTTGCAGCCATTGAAAACGTGCTTGAGCCAAAAGTTCAGATGCTCCTGCAGCAGATCACGTTCATGAAAATGGCTGGGATGGCTGGACAGGTTAATGAGATAGCAAGTCAGAATCGTTGAACAAGCCTCCGGTGACAAATGCCACCAGAAGTCGCATGCCTGGTGCAATAGCTCATTGCCATAGTTTGATGATCCCACTCCAAAAAAATAAAAGTGGAGCCACTGTTGATACGAAGTGTCAGATGTAAAGTAATGATCATAAATTCAATTTGCTTACCTTGATCACCTCAAACGTTTGGCCAGCATCACCATCATGGATGCTTGAGTTAAACTTGTATAGAAGGAGATCACAGTAAAGAAGTATGTTATTATAAAGCAGGGTGTCACCTTTTTCATCCCCATTAAATGACACCTGTTGCATGGCTGACTCAACATCTCCCATGTTATGAGATGGGTCACTTGCACTTGACCAAGTGATACTGCTGCTTGGATTTTGATCTTCCTCAGTATCACTGCCATCATTAGTAAAAGCAAGACCATCGTCAAGGTTGGGGTTGGATGTGGCAGATGAAGGTGCAAAGGCCAGGGGATTCGAAAAGCCCTGGGGCATAGAGGAATCAAAAAAATTGGTGGCAGCTTGTATATTGTGTAGGTGTGCAAAGGTCACAGCCTCTGTTGTCCCATAAGTGGAATAGATTTTCCATGAAAGCAAGATGAGAGAACTGAGTGAGCACTGATAAAGAGGGAAGCCACATTTGCAATATACTCGGAGCTCCTCAAGGAGGTGAAGTCGGTCAGCCTGGCCAGATGACCCAAGGAGCTGTGCAGAAGAGTGGCCATGCAGGATACACCTAAAAACATGTAAGGCTGCAGATTGAATTGACAAAGATGAAAAAAGGAAAATGCACCTTGCATAGTGAAGTGTCATGGTTGTTAGAACAACCTCAGCCAGATGGAAACAAGGATAAAAGTCGACTTTTTCGGTGTTGATCTTGTGGCCAAGGTGCTCTGCTGCAAAGCAGAGGCCGAGGTCACCTTTACCAGTTTTTGTAGCCCAATGGGCTTTATAGACACCCTTAAGAAATGCCCACTTCATGTGCCAGAGCTCGACTATTGGGAAGATCCATTTATGGGACGTGAACCATGAGCAACAAGTTGAAGTTTGTTCAAGGAGGGTGCAGAGTCATGCAATGGTTGATTGATCACCTGAGACTGGGAACTGCCTAGACTCCAGTTCTTGGCGGCTGATTCCCAACTGCCATACGAAAGCATCCAGCACCACATCCCTATTCCCCTGGGTATGAGCCTCATTGAAGCCTGTTAGAATGATGAACATGCGGAGTTGTCCAGAAGTGGAGAAGGGACTCAGGAGTGGAGGGACCTTGGCCTCAGTGACTCAAGTGGAGCGCTGTGCCACTGCTTGTTGTCTAAGGTGGTCCTTAACTTCAGGTTAGCAGGGGGTGTCTCTTTGGGGGACAATCCAGTCGTTATTCTTGTCGATTTCAGACTGGGGGTACAGGAAACTAAGTACAGAGTATATATATAATACAGGAGTGGAGTCAGAGGACAAAGGGAACTGGAAGGAGGACAAAGGGGGACTGGATGAGGGAACAACCCCAAGGGTCAAGGGTTGGAACTCTATGGTGCTTCCCAAAAGGGCAAGGCCAAGAGGGGAAGGAGTGGAGGGGGTTGTGGGGAATGACAGCTGACTAATATGGAAAGGAAGCAGCTGTCTAAATAAGGAAGAGGCAACAAGAGGATTAAATGACACCATACAGTAGAGACTGCAGGGTCCGGAGTCAGAAGTCAAAGTCCGGAATATTGGCTAGACATAATAAATGAAATGTAATAAGGAATACAAGGAGATAAGACAGAGGAGGTCAAAGTCCAGAGGCAGAGACATGACTGGAGTTCTGGAGGTGGAGGTGCGATGAGGTTCTGGTACAGGAGTCCAGAGCCAGAGGCATGGATCATCGCAAACTCTGGTCTGGAAGGTACGAGGTTGGGATCGGACCCGGAGTAAACTGGAGTTGGATCAGAGGTAGTGTTGGACATTGTGTTGGAGTGTCATGGCCGTGCATTCCGGCCCGTTCCCCGCCCATCCCGATGCCGCCCGAGCCCGTTCCCGCTATGCAAGCATGAGCGCAAGCCCCAACCTCAGCCCTATCCTCCCTGAGGACTCCCTGCTCACTTCCCTGCTTGCCCCTAGGCTCCCCTACACTAGCCGACTCCCCTGCTGCTGCACCAACCTTCCCACCCCAAGTCCGCCTCCAGCACCGTGCCCAGTGCGACTCCTCTACCCCGCCCACTTGGCCCCTACAGGGCCGCTATCATCCCTGCGCCCGACTCCAGCCCAACTCCGAGTCCAGCGCCGCTACGATACCATCGCCGCTATCGCGGCCCTACGCTCTTTCCTTTATTTATCTGTTATTGTTTGTTTTGACCCTCAGTCATTGCCAGCCGCTATGCGGCCAACCCCGCTCCTTACCCTTGTTTGCTTCCGGACCCCTCGGCCTTCGGCCCGGGTCCGCTTCCATTCATTTCTTCCTCCTATATATATCCTGTATACTACATTATAGTACTTTAGCTCTAATATCAATGTGACCACGACCCCTAAGTCCTGACCCCAACAAGGCAACCCCAGTGAGTCCGAAATGAGGGCCAAGAGACAGCTAGGGGGCACAGCACTCCCTTTAGAGTTGCTGAGGCCAAATGCCCTACCCCCGGGCCTTGTTCATGGCATCACGGCCATCGCAGCCTATAGCGGCCCGCAACGGCGATCCTCGGTGCCGACCCCAGACCAGTGTCTAACATGGAGCCAGAGGTAGAGTGGGCTCTCAACAACCAACAGGGGGAGGTGGTGGTGGAGGATGTGGAGTTCTGGAGGAGGAGATGGAGGTCCAGAACAGGAGCGGAGGTCCGGAGTTGTATGGATATGACAAAGCCTGTGCACTCAAGTGGGTGGTACTCCATCTTGGTAGCCTGCATGCGGCACTTTGCATACTTGAGGTGCTGCAGGTTGTCGACATCCTTCTTGAACTTCCCCAGTGCGGGCAAGTATTCAACCAAGATCCGAAGAATATTGGCGATGGAAATGCCCTCTAGATGGCCAGCATCAAGGTCTTGCTTGAGCTTCTCAAATGTGAGCTCCTCCTTGTCGGCTGCCAACTTTCTTCAGTAATAACCCTGCCCATCGAATACGTTAGGGTCTGCACCTTGCTCCACCACAATAGTAGCAGCCATCCCAGTCTCCAGGGAGCTTCTTGCATTCAGGCTGGGTCTCCAGGCCCTATGATATTGGTTAATATTGTCATACACCAGGTGAAGTCGTATTTGCCCATCTATTAGAGCACAACCCAGTCCCTTCAATATGATTTTTTTGTCAGCACCCAGACTGTGCAGGCCCTGCACAGTGGTGGAGTATGCAGTAGCCAGACCCATATGGCTGAGTATGTGTGGACTGATCAGTGAGCACTTGTCATAAATAAGATTTTTCTGAAGAAACTTTTTGCCTTGACACAGCGGAAGTACGACATTATCAGCAGTGATACCATGCAGCCCTAGCAAAGTGAGTAAGTATGTTGACTGAATCAAGTTAATGTATAATCTTCTCACTAGCCACGGGTCTCGCATATTATTTGAGCCATGTCCGCTCATTCCACATCGCACTTCTCGATAGATAGATTTGAGGCACTGTCCATTCACCTTCCCAATTGCAGCCATTGTCATTACTGACCATGTTACAGGGGCCGTGCATTGTATGAGGTCTTGGGTTTCTGTGAACGAGAATTGTGCGACCTTCGACCATGTAAGCCCAGCTGAATCTCCAGCATGAAGTGAAGCATGCTCCATAAGGCACTTCATCTCTTTATTGACTTCTTCTAGTACCTGCTGGACAAAATATTGTCAGAGGCTACTCTGTGCCATTACCCCCTGCCAATCACTCCACTCATCAAATCCAGCATGCACAGAGTCATTTGTGATCTCCCCTAGTTGAGGCGAGCTTACTGTCAGCGGAGATGTAAGGAGTGGTGGAGGCTGTGCATAGAAGGGGAGCAGTTGAAACCTTGGTGGGTCCTTAGGCTTTTCTTGCCCATAGGGATGATCAAACATCAGCTGAACAACATTTGCAGGCTGGGTCCCAATAGACATGCGACCCTGCAGGAACAAAGCCAAGCTTTGTTTTGAACTCGGTGTGAGGTACAGTTGATTTTTATCATCAAATATCATTGGCCCAGAGTGAATCCTTGGCAGCGCATGATGGTAAGGACCATCTTGGCCCCTTGTAGGGCGTTTATCATCTTAATGTGAGCTGTCTCAAGCAATGAGATTTTCTTCTCCATTGACCCACAAGAAGCGCAAGCCAAAATTTTTTTGCCTTCTACACTCTGGGAATACCGGTGTGTGTTCACCCCATGGTCATTGAGATTGATTTCAAGTGGAGAGCGATACCGGTGCAGCACAACCATGGTAAGACACCTCTGAACAGACTGAGAATGGAAATGGAGCAACTGATCCCGAATAGCCATCATGTACAATGCGGATTCTTTTGGGAGAAGGATTGTCAGGGTCATCAAGTGGTGACCTGAAGCCATGACCTGAAGCAGAGAGCATTGTAGGTGGGCACATGTCAGGGATCAGCAATGACCCTGGACCCTATGCCGGCTGCACGTATGCGCATGGGAAGTATGCCAGTAATTCCCATCTACTCCGCTTACCTAAGCCCCAGTGACCCGGATCATCTCCGGCATTGTTCTGGAACATTCTATGATCACATGATTCTATCGGCAATCCATTTGGTTTCCTTATTGCCGGACTCTACATGTATATAGCTGACCCTAAGATGGGGACATCCCTTTCCCCCGGCTTTAATCACAACTAGGTTATCGGAGCATCTTGCACGAGCACACATGTCCCCTGACAGCACAGCCGGTACTGCACAAACGAACCGAATATCGTGATTTCCCCATCCCTGCACATCCCCACTTCACGAAACACATCACACACGTCCTCACATACCATTTCTACCCTTCCATGATTTTTTCCTATTTTTTCAGACACATTCCCAGTCTCCACAGACCAAATTCCCATGCCCACCCAGCAGTGCGGCCACACTCAGACTGGATTTCACTTATCTCAGCAACCACTGCACCGATTTGGACGATATTGGTACCGTTGGAAACGTGTCATTTAGGAGTATTAGGATCCATGATTAGCGGGAGTTGAACCCCCCCCTGGCATAACGGGCGAGTAGTGTATGGATGCACGCTAGAGGTCCTGGGTTCGATACCAGGCTTGTCCATTTTATGTCATTTGTCCAGTCACGCTGGTTTACGTCATAAGAATTTGGAGCTCCGGATAAGTCCAGTAGTCGCACCGGATACAAATTTCCTCAGATTGGTGATGGATAGAGTTGGATATTTTTTGGGTGGAAATCATTTATTGCTTTATTATTTCCTTGATTATTGTTTTCCCTTCCTTTTTCCGATATTGTTTGTTGCCGATATGACCCACCTAAGCACATGGGACTCATCGGATATTTTCCTTCATTTTTATTTGATCATTTCTCATATATACTGTACATGAGGATGTATCTACCTTTCCCCTTGGACTAGAAACCACCGAGTTTGCCCCTCCCAAACTAGTAGGGAGTAGTACGACCTAGAAGACAGCCAAGAAGACCTCTAGATTAGTCCTTGCCTTAGTGTCACCCAGAGAGGTGGGGTGAGAGACTGATTGGAGTACACCATGCACCGTAACACACCGGACCATATTTCCCTTTACCCCCCTTTCCCTGACCTGTTGGATACCAATCTGGTCCCCGTCCTTTCCTGCTTTCCTAGTGGGTTAGATCCCTAGCCCACTTACAGCATGTCGAATGTTCTCTTTGACATAGTCTTTGTCAGTGTCAGGGCACACCCACCTGACCCCACACTGCACCCCGCACCATACTGCCCTACTCTGCTCCCCCTGCTATCACTCCCCATCCCTCCTTTCCCCTTTTCCCTTTTCTCTCTGTTTCTATTCCATGGTTGATTTCCCTTATCCCCATGTACCACTACATACCTAACCCTGCTCCCTGGATCGCTGCACGCATTCCTGCCTACTGGGCAGCCACCTCCAGGATCTCCCACAGAGACACCCAGGGAGGTGCAGCTGTGTGTGGAGATGACATGGCTCCCTCCATGTGACCCTAACCGCATGTATATAATAGTGCCTGGGGTGGGAACAGAAGAAGTAGCCTTCTTCTCAACTTCCCACTTCAGACTAAGTGGTCGGGGATGCTCACCCCGCGATGGGACCACCACTACACATAGCCGACACCTGTCCCATCGAGTCCCTCGTGCCAGGACCTCGCCGCTTTTGGAGCTGTCCCTGACAGTCAGACATGGTAGCAAGGTATTTGAGTCAGGACTGTGCTGAGTTGGAGTAACAAAGAATGAAGACCCTGGTGTCGGAATGTAACCGTCCATGCAGGGTTGTCAGTGTGTGGGCACCCAGCCTCTACTTTGTCGGAAAAGTTACGAATCCACTGCATCACGTGATGCCCGTTCCAATGCATTGCAACGCATTTCAATGAATCACAATGCCTCAGCTCACTGTTACAATAGGTATATCAAATGCCATTTCATGGTGTATGACATTGCAACTGACCCCATATTTGTGTAGCAACAAAATAAATGTTTTTTTTGCCATTTTCAAAACTTTAGGCAGGATACCAGCCCGTTTTCAGGATTATTGACACGTGGTCTAATTTGGTTCCACAATTGGGTCCAATTATCTCAAAAATGGCTGGGCGGGTCTCATAGTTGCCAAGATATGAATGCAGACCCAAATTGGACAATACCAAAATTGGCTGTATCTTGCCAACTACATTTTTCTATGCTCCCAAACTATGTACATCACATCCTAGCCTGGCAAGTCTCCGGATCAGGCTGGGGATTCTTATCACAGATCCATCATATGCCGCTGGCCAATCAGATATTTTATACATAAACAATAGCATTTTCTAAAGTCTGAGAGAAACTGTCTGTGCACCAAGTCTCCCACGCACACACAGCAGCGGCTAGGTGTTGTATATGGCTGAAACTCCTCATATCTCCACCACTTCTTCACCATTTCTCATTGTTAAATTTGCATTAGAATTGCCTTGACTTCCTACACCATCCATACTATAACTTCCTCACATGATTCCTGACCATTTCTCTGCTGTAAAATTTCCCCAGTATTTATCCCTCTTGTGAGACCTGATGTTAAAACTGTGCCGATAATTATATCTATAGACAGTCACTCAGTCTCTAGCTTATAGCATGAGATCTCAGTTATATTACCTATAGACAGTAGCTAAAGACAATATACATTAACATGAGTTAAAGATTATGGAAAATAAAACAGTACAACGTGTCTGAGGTGTAATTTAATTAAATGGCTATACAATAACCGGATGTGATCATGTGTAAGTCACGTGATTTAACCTGAGCTCAGCCTTTTGGATATTTCCGAAAGGGGATGCAATTAATGCGCTGGTTTCCAACCCTGATATCCCCCCTAACAGCATGATTCACTATGTAAGCTGGGTTCGGTGTCTTTGTGCATTACCCCTCTAATATATCTATATGAGGAACCAAGGGTTGGTTACTAAGTAGTAAGGGCTCGCTGGCCGAGCGGTAATATAGTGTGTATGATATAGTGATTGTATGTGGTCAGTGTTCTCACGCCAGTCCCCAGGTTGTGTGTTCGATTCCTATGTGAGCTAATATATGATGTATTATTATTTTTAATGTATTGAAATCAAGTGGATCACGTTGCAATGTATTTAAATGTATAAGCCGCATTGCAACACACAGGTCACGTTGCAACGTCAAGTGATCAATACAACGGTTGTATCGCCACATATCCGTTTTGGTCATTGCATCACGTTGCAATATATTGACATGGATTTGAACTTTTTCCGACATTTAGTAGAGGCTGGGAACCTGCCTAGCTTCGGCCCAACTTTCCGGCTCTGGGATGTGGAGAAAGTGTTTAAATCGCTTGCATTGCGTCATGTTCCCCGTGCGCCAGACGCTTCCTTTTGGGGCTCCGGACCGTAAGGCAACATAAGGCACGTCAATGAATGCGTGAATATGTTTTGTCTTATTTTTACAGAATGTATATATGTAATACATAAATAGATATGGACCTTTTTTTATGTAAGTCACAGCCCAGCCTAATCTAGGCCTCAAAGGCGTAATGTATTGCTC